AGCAGAGGAGCAGGATAACATAGCAATACACAAAAATCTTAGTAGACTTCTTTATACTAATGAAACATACGGAAAACAAGAAGGAAAAAATCCCATTTACAATAGCCTCAGATAAATCTTGGGGTAGATCTGAGGACATGAAAGACTTACCCAATAAAAAATCTAAGACACTGTGTAATGTGTAGTCTTCCCGCCAGTCTTCTAGTCTGGGCCCTACTGAGCTGTCTGAACCCCCAAATAACACACAGGACGCTATATTAATTATGAAGCTGTTGTCCGTTTGCTATGATTTCTTATCGGCTAGCTATGACTTAATTGTTAACCCATGATTGCTAATCTGAATATTTTCATGTGGTCTTCACTTACCAGAGAACAGGGTCCGTAATTCTTACTCCTCTGGCTTCCTACATCATGACTGCCTGTGCCTCTCTTTCCCAGAATCCTTCTCGTCTCCTAGTCCCACCTATCTTGCTTCCCTAATGGCCAATAGTGCTTTAGTCAATAACCAATAAGAGAGACATATTTACAGAATGCCATCTCCCATCAACACTGAAAACAGAAATTGAAAAGATACCGATACCAAAAGTGGGAAAGACCTCTGATACTCATGGACTGGTAAGATTAACTTTGTGAAAATGGTCAACCTACCAAAAACAGTCTACAGACTCAAAGTAATCCCCATCAAAATTCCTACACAGTTTTTCACAGAAATGGAAAATAAAACTATCTCAAAATTCTTATGAGGGCTAGAGATTCTGCTCAGTAGTTAAGAGCACTAACAGCTTCTCCAGAGGACCCCAGTTCAGTTCCCAGCACCCACACACTGACTCACAACCACCTGTAACTCCTGTTCCAGGCCACTCAATGCCTATAATCCTAAACCCCTAATTTTTGACAATGTTGAAGAGATGTACATTGGAGAAAAGACATCATCATCAACAGATGGTGTTGATCAAACTGGATAGCTACATGAAGAAAAATGAAAGTAAATCAATATCACTCACCTTTCATAAAACATAACACCAGACAAGTCAAGAACCTTGACATAAGTTCTGGTGCCCTGGACCTGACAGAGCTGGAGATGAGGATTACAATTCAGTTTCTAGGAACAGGATAGGACTTTGTGAACAGGCATAAAGAAAAATAACAAGAGGGGGTCTTATGAAACTAAAAAGCAGATCCTGGAGAGATGTCTCAGCAGGTAAGAGCGCTAACTGGATGTTCTTCCAGAAGACTAGGGTTCAATTCCCGGCACCCACGTAGTAGCTCACAACTGTCTGTAACTCCAGCTCCAGGGGATCCCATACCCTCAAATAGGCATACATGCAGACAAAACACCAATGGACATAAAATAAAAATAAATTAAATTTTTTAAAAAAAGAAAAACCAGGTGGTCGTGGCGCGCGCCTTTAATCGGGAGGCAGATCTCTGTGAGTTCTAGACCAGCCTGGCCTACAAGAGCTAGTTCCAAGACAGGCTCCAAAGCCACAGAGAAACCCTGTCTCAAAAAACCAATAAGTAAGTAAGTAAGTAAGTAAGTAAATAAATAAATAAAAAAGAAAGAAAGAAACTTCTGGGCAGTGGTGGCACAATACGTCCCAGCACTCAGGAGGTGGAGGCAGGTGGATCTCTGTGAGTTCAAGCAGCATGGTCTACAAAGTGAGTTCCAGGACAGCCAGAGCTACACAGAGAAACCCTGTCTTGAAAAATAAAAAATAAAAATAAGCAATTCACAAATGTCAGTGACTTAAACTAGATGTTTGTTGTTCCTACTTAGAAAATACCAGCCCCACCCCCCACCTCCCACTCCCCACCCCCATCCTTTATCTGACATGTGGTGGTGAGGGCAAGGGAAAGATACCCTTCCTCCACCTTGCTTCATGGTGGATGAGGGAGCAGACCCTCCCCCTTACCAAATGTAGCACTCTGGACAGTGGTCCCTGAACTTTGCCTTGGCAATACAGTAGAACTGGCCCTGATGGTGGAGATGTGGGAGAGCCAACTCTGAGAATGTGAAGGCAGGAGAACTGGCCCCGCCCCTTGCTAGTTGTTGGAAGGAGTGAACTATCCAGGACAATGCTGCAGAGCTCACCCTGGTGGTGAGGACAAGGGAGAACTGGCAGGCTGACCAACTCTGCAGCTACCCAGGCCCAGATCCAGGGTTATGAATTGGCCCGCCCCAACATCCACCCATCTATGATCTGCTTGAGTGCATGAAGGGACCCATCCTGCAGACCCAAAGCTACAGGATCTCTACAATACAAGGCAACGGGATATCCAAGAGGGTCCAGCATCTATAGTATAGCAGAAACCAGAGGCCTTGAACCAGACCAATGACTTTTGCAATGAACACTTGCAAGTAAAGATAAATAGATCTAAAAGAAAAGACAAAACCAAGACTGGTGTGGCCATGCATGCTTTTAATCCCACACTTGGGAAGCAGAAGCAGGCAGATCTCCATAAAAAGAAAAATTTTAATGTGTATCGATGTTTTACCAGCATGTATGTCTGTGTGAGGATGTCAGATTCCCAGGAAATGGACTTATAGACTATTGTAAGCTACCATGTGGGTGCTGGGAATTGAACCCCGGTCCTCTGGAAGAATAGCCAGTGCTCTCAACCACTGAGCCATTTCTCTAGCCCTAGATCTCTGTAAATTTGAGGGCAACCTGGTCTACAAAGTAAATTCCAGGACAACCAAGGCTGTTATACAGAGAAACCTTGTCTTGAAAAACTGAAAAGAAGGGCCTGGAGAGATGGCTCAGAGGTTAAGAGCACTGGCTGCCATTCTTCTAGAGGTCCTGAGTTCAATTCCCAGCAACCACATGGTGGCTCACAACCATCTATAGTGAGATCTGGTACCTTCTTCTGGTCTGTATGCAGAGCACCATTTATAGGATAAATATAAATAAATAGTCAGTGTCCTCTTAAAGAAAGAAAAGAAAAACTGAAAAGAAAATATTAGACCAATTGGCATATGACCGAGCTTTGCTGTTCTCAGCTGACTATAGCCTGTAAGAAGGGTTAGAGTCTGATACACATGTCTATTCTAGGACTTAGGCTGAAGGTAGCTACCCCAGGGATGATATCATGGGTTTATACAAAGCCCAGAAAGGCAAACCAATCATGTTAACACATTTTGAGCTTTTGCTCACATTCTTTCCACTGGTCAAAGGAAGTCTCACAGACAAAGCCCTAAATCAAGAGGTGGGACATACAGTGTGTCCTCCACCTTCAATCCCAGTGTTCAGCAGGTATGTGTGTGTGAGGGGAAAGACAGATCTCTATCTGTTCTTTCAAGGCCAGCCTGGTCTATAGATAGAGTTGGTTTCACAACTATATAATAAGACCCTGTCTCAAAAAGGGTGAGGGGGAAGTATAGTTAATAATGTTCTTTGAAATAATCGTGTTAAGTGAAAGAAGTATTCTCTATAACATATGAACTTCATGTAAACTTATCTCTCATTTAAAAGAAACAGTATAAAAAAGGAATTAGCCCATTAATTATTTAAAATATCTGGTGCAGCTATTCCTATTAATTAATCCAAGGTATTTGAAAGACAATTACACTCTGTGTTAATTGCCAGGCTTGGGCAGCTCGCCAGGACAGCGAGGGAAGAGGGTGCGGCCACGGCGGTGTTGGGGACCAAGGCACAGGAGGACCCCGCGTGGACCATGGAGATGCTGGGCTTGGCGGCAGGAATAACCAACAGCAGTATGGCCAATGCCTTGGCCAGCGCTACGAGTGAGCCCTGCAATGGGGGGCTGCGCACCTGCCGAGAAGATTGTGAACAGTAATGGCGAGCTGTACCATGAACAGTGCTTCGTGTGTGCCCAGTGCTTCCAGCAGTTCCCAGAAGGACTCTTCTATGAGTTTGAGGGAAGGAAGTACTGTGAGCACTATTTCCAGAAGCTCCTTGCTCCCTGCTGCCACCAGTGTGGTGAATTCATCATTGGTCAGGTTATTAAAGCCATGGACAACAGCTGGCATCCTGATGGAAGCAGAGGCAGACTGCTTACATTTTCAGCAGAAAAAAACAATGGAATCCTGCAATTTGCAGCCAAATGGATGGCATTAGAAGAAATCATCCTGAGCCAGGTAACCCAGTCACAAAAAGAGAAACATGGCATGTACTCTATCATATATGGATTTTAGACATAGATCTGGGGAGTGCCAGCCTACAATCCCATGGCCAGAGATTCTGGGAAACAGAACCTTCATTCAGTGGCTGATGGAAGAAGAGGCAGACTCCCACGGCCAAGTACTGAGCTGAACTCAAGAAAGCTAGTAAAAGAGAGGGAGGACTGATGACCAAAGGGATTAAGACTGGGCTGGTTTAACCCCCAGAAACAGCTGACCTGAAAAGGGTTACCTCTTGAATCCAAGGCTGATGCCTGGGAATCCAGCATGGGTCTGATCAAGACCCCCTGAATGTGGGTGTCAGTGAGGAGGCCTAGGCAATCTATTGAGCCTTGGGTAGTAGATCAGTACTTATCAATGGCATACAAATGGACTTTGGACGCCCGTCCAACAGTGAGAGAAGCACTTTCATCCTGGACTCTTGGGGGAGTGTCTAGGTCCTGCCCTGGATGAAATGACAGACTATGGCCTCACCCTTCCTGGGGATATAAGGGGATATTTGGGGGGGTTGGTGGGAGGGCGCGGGAGGAGGGGAGGGAAACGGAGAGGGACCTGAAATTGACATGTGAAGCAACCTTGTTTCTAATTTAAATTTAAAAATAAAATTTTAAAAAAACAAACAAAAAAAGATGAACAAAAGCAAGGTACCAGATTTCTTTCTTGTTATGCTACTGTTCATAGTCTTAACATTAATCAATAAAGTTCTGATAAGTTATTTTAAAAAAGATCCCTCAAGTGAGGAGACTGAAACTTGCTGAAGCCTGAGTCTCAGAGGCTGCAGAACCTCGGCCAAGACAGAAGGGGCGGGTTAAAGGGGCAGGACCAAGTCGCAGAACTGAGATTGAGGGCGGGACCTTGGGGAGAGAGGCGGGGCTAAACTCGGCTGCGCACGCTCGGTGTGGACCGTTCTCCGCTGCTGTGGCTGCCTCTGCCCACTCTGGAGTAGGAGTGAGGTGCAGGCGACCTGGTAGCAGAAGGGCCCCGTAGGCGAGCCACCATGGCCCGGTGGCTGCAGCTCTGTTCCTTCTTCTTCACTGTCAACGCCGGCCTCAGTGGCTCACAGCTGGCAGTGGTTGTGGGCGGCTCAGGCCGCCCGAGGGGCCTCCTGCCGACACCTGTGGCAGGAGTGTAAGGCCAGGGCTTGTTCGCGCTCCAGGTTATCTGAGGGCTAGCGCCACGCACAGGTGCTGGCAGACAGGGGAGTCGGGTTCCTCTGATCTGTAGATGCTGGATCTGCTGTCAGTGGTGTCCCTGGCTCCTCCAGCCCATTCCGCCTCAAGGTCCCCAAGCGAGCATCCGCTGGTCCCCCTCTGGATGAAAGGTGACTCCGGACCCTGGCTTTGTGTTGCTAATGGGGCGCGTCTGCTGCACGGGGTCCGACTCCCGAGGGCGGGTGGCATGGCGGCGGGGCGGGGGCTGTGCGCCCCACCCTTTTGTTCTCGGCTCTCTGCCCCTGGGCTTCGCTTCCTGGACTGGGATCTTCCAGGCTGTCCCGGTACGCATGAACTTCGGAGCCCATGGATCGTGCCCTGGACCTCCAGTCCACAGCTCTGCAAGGGCTTAAGGGCATCCGGGGAAGGGACCCTGGAGAGCTAGGGAAGGATGCATTCACTTTCTCTCTGTCGCTCTGTTCCTTCTAAGCAGCTCTGTCACCCTACTCCTTCCTACGCCACTGGGGATTCTTAACTTTCTAAGAGACTCTGCCTGCAGGTCTCATGATGCCACCACTAGCCGCCAACGCGCCTCAGCTTGAGTTGAGGGTGTTTTCATGGCCAAAGGGCAGCGAAAGTTTGTCTGCTCCGCCAGGTGCCCCAGACCTGAAACTGGTGGAGCCCACACTTTCCCTGTGTACTTGAAAGCCCTCTCCCCAAAGCAGGAATTCCTTTCCTGTTGTCTGGGTAGTGCGGCCCCCTGGTCTGCAGACCTTGAGCCTTCCACAGAGACAAGGGCGCTGAAAGTCAGGCCACTCACACCTTCAACCCTATTGTAAGAACACAGTTTGCCATCCGGGCAGCCCAGTCTGGAGTGCCCAGTCTCAGTTTCCTTACCTAGAAAACTGGAAGGGGGGTGGGGGAGTGGGAGGGTTGCTTATTCCGCAGGGCTCAGGGATATGTTGAGGGCAGCTTGCTTAGACCAAGGTTGTCTTCCCTTTTGCCATGGACTCTACTAAACAGCTCAGTACAGACAAGACCCAGAATAGGACACCTCTTAGGGACACTTGGCTCACTTCTCAGTTAGAGAGAAACCCAGTTCAGAAAACGAGGTAAGAGCGGGCAGCTGCAGGTCAACCATTCCCACTCCTCTTAGTGGACTCTGCTCATCTTCCCCTTTTGGGTAAAGCCTCACGGTTTCTTGCTGTGTTCCACTGCAGTAAAACCTCACTGTTAGTTTTAACAGATTGCAAATTTTCTTGAGGCTATCACATGTTGACTTACTAATTCTCTTGTAAGATTTTTGATCTAGACTGGCAGTTGCTGCTTTTCTAGAGTAGCCTAGAATGCATGAAGCGTGTGTAAAGTTTTAACATTGGGTGTATTAGTTGTCTCTGAAGAAGCCAAAGCAATGTTTTTGCTCTTCAGGAATGCATCGCTCAATAACTGCCCCCCACCCCGTTGATGTGGTCCCATCACTAGTACCCACATTCCTGGCCTCCTGGGAGTGATCTCAACAGCTCCTGCCTTGGTGACTACTACAGCCCTTTCCGTGGGTCACCAGCTCCTTCCTGGATGAGCATGGAAGCTTCTGGGCCGTATCCCAGATTCCAGGCTCTGAACCACAGCTCCTTCCTGCTGAAATTGCCTGCTTGGTACACGTGAAAGTAGGCCCAGCTTACCCAGCCTTCTTCTAGCACAGCCATGGGTTCTGCCCCCTCCTTCCCTGTTGCTTGCCTTCTAAGTCCTTTCCCACAGCCAGCATGTGCTTCCCATCTTGACTCTGTTCTGGCCCGAGAGCGCCCTGCTAGGTTTAAGGGTCTGCTCATGTGCCGCCTCTTCCAGGAAGCCCTCCCAGGACGCTATGCCCTGTGCTTTACTTTCTCATCCAGGTCCCTTAGTCTTTGGTGCTCACCAGCTTTGTGTGTTTAGTTTCCATGGTGGGGTCGAAGCTTGGAGCCCTATAATCTTGGCTGAGGCCATGTAGACCATGGCATCTTTCTGCAAAATCCTTTAGTGCATGGTTTGAAGAGTCGGAAGAGCTGAGCCTAGTGCTGTAATCCCAGCTACTCGGGTGACTGAGGCAGCAGGATCAAAAGTTTTGTGCCTGCCTAGGCTTCAGAATGAGTTTCAGGGCTAGCCTAGGCAACTTAGAGAGACCCTGTCTGGAAGGAAGGGAGGAAGGAAGGGAGGGAGGGTGGGAGGGAAGGAGGGAGGGAGGGAGGGAGGAAGGAGAAAGAAGGAGGGAGAGAGACAGAGACAGAGAGTCAGAGACAGTGCTGGAGGTGATACAACTCAGCAGCAGAACACCTGTGTGACAGCCTGAGGTCTGCGTTCATCTCCAGAGGGAGGCAGGCAAGGAGGTCTCAACGCCAGGCTTCAGTCTATCATGTTCTGTGTGCAGTAGGACTTCGCACAGCATTCCTGGCTGCAGCCACCTTCAAAACTTGGGGAAAATATCACCCTTTTGCTTCTTACCTTTTTAGTGACTTCTCTGAACTCTGTCATGGCTTCTTGCAGGAAACCCTCCCTATCCCCACCTTACTAATTAAGATGTCACAGATGTTACGTTGTCATGGCGTTCTAGTAGGTACCAATGTTCAGAATCTTGGATTTTTGAGTCATACCTGCTTCGTACAGGTCTCCTACTCATCCTGTGCATGTTGGCCCCAACTCTGAGGTCATTTATGGTCTAGTTGGGTCTGTATAAATAAAATATATAGGAGTCAAAGGCCGAGGCAGGAAGATGGCTGTGTCGTGGTCAATCCCCCCACCCACACCACAGAAAGAAAGCAAAGACAAGGCTGGGACGGTGTTTGGGAACTGTAGCTCATTTGCCGAGTGCTTGCTGGCATCCCCAGGGTCAGGGGAAGGATAAGGAATAAACATAGGTGTAGTGGTGCTACCAAGCCTTTAGCACCCAGAAGGTAGGCAGATCTCTGTGAGTTCAGCACCAGGTTGGCCTACATACCGAGCTCTAAGCCAGCCAAGGATACATAATGGGACCCTACCTCAACGCCCAGATTTTCTTTCATTATTTGAGACAGGATTTCTCTAGGTAACAGCCCTGGCTGTCCAGGAACTCACAGAGATCTGTCTGCCTCAGCCTTTCCAGCATTGGGATGAAAGGTGTGCGTGTGCCACCATTACCGCCTGGCACTTTATTTTTTTGGTGTGTGTGTTTCATTTAATTGATTTACCAGATTAGGTTGTGCAGGTGTGTACTCATGCAGAGGTCAGAATGTGTCAGGAGACCTGTTCTATTACTTTGTTGTAGTCCCTTGTCACATGTCTCTCACTGATACTGGAACTGGGCTGTAGGCCAGCAAGCCCGCCCCAGTGATTCTCTTGTCTCTGCTCCTCTTAGCATTCATGGTCTTACAGGCTTAGCACATAAGCATGGGTGTCAAGGATTCCGGCTCAGGTCCTCTGCTTGCCCAGCAATTGCTTGTGCCCACTGAATCATTTCCCTATCTTCAGCTGTTTTTGATGATGGAATTGTTGTTTGTGATGGTTACCTTTAATGTGTCAACCCCTCGTGCTGAGAGATTCTGAAACCTCCCCCTGTCTTGATAAAAACAGGAGTTCCGACGTCAGGCTTGATGGGCCAAACGCATAAAGACTTTGAAGGCAGAGCAGGAGGATCGAGAGTTCAAGGCCAGCTTGGAGGCTATATTGTCAGTTTTGGCCTAACTGAAGTATTACATAATGAGACCCTAACTTAAAAAGCAAGCAAGCTCATAAACAAATAAGTGAACCAAAAGCCTAGAAATCCATTCTCACAAATTTGTGTTTAGTAGCTTTCCCTTTGGGCCATTTGTGGTCTCCCACCCTAGATGGCATGCATATTCCCTGGTTCTCTTTTGTCTGAACTACCATTTCTTAACCCCTCCCCACAAAAGACTGTCGTTAGCAATTCAGAAACTGTATGCTGGCACCATACAAGGAAGTACAAATTTCCCATTTAAGGCAAGTATTTCATCTCCAAAGGTAGAAAGGAATAGGGTTGTATTGGGGGGGTCCAGCTGGTTAAAATTTAGGCCCCTGGTAAAAGTCCAATCCTAGTGTTCTTCCTGGCTTGGAACCCAGGCATGTTTATTTGATTCTGAATTGGATACATTTTTATTCACTTACATATCCTAAGCCCTATATCTGGTCTTTGTGCTCTACCGTCATGTGGACCACATCACGGCACTCTTGTATCATACAGAATTCTTTGGTAAAAATTATTTTAGTTTTGAGTTGACACTGTTTTTTTTATTTTTTTTTAAATTTTATTTTCCAGTTTAAATTTAGATAAGAATCAAGGTTGCTTCACAAGTCAGTTCCAGGTCCCTCTCCCATTCCCTCCCTTCCTCCCGTGCCCTCCCCCCCCCCCCCCGTTATCCCCTCATTTCTCCAGGGAGGGTGAGGCCCTCCATGGGGGTGTCCACAGTCTGTCATTTCATATAGGGCAGGGCCTAGACCCTTTCCCAAGAGTTCAGGGTGAGAGTGCACCTCACATTGTTCTATTGGAGTCCAAAGTCCGTGTGTATACTTGGGATGGGTACTGATCTGCTGCCCAAGGCTCAATAGATTCCCTAGGCCTCTTCACTGACACCCAGATTCAGGGGGTCTTGATCAGTCTCATGCTGGCTTCCCAGGCTAATGCCTGGGATTCAAGAGTTAACCTTTGTCTGGTCAGCTGTTTCTGGGGGTTAAACCAGCCCAGTCTTAATCCCTTTGATCATCAGTCCTCCCTCTCTGTTACTGGCTTTCTTGAGTTCAGCTCAGTACTTAACCAAGGGAGTCTGCCTCTTCTTCGATCAGCCACTAAATGAAGTTTCTGTTTCCCAGACTCTCTGGCCATAGGATTGTAGGCTGGCACTCCCCAGATCTATGTCTAAAATCCATATATGAGAGAGTACATGCCATGTTTCTCTTTTTGTGACTGGGTTACCTCACTCAGGATGGTTTCTTCTAGTGTCATCCATTTGCCTGCGAATCTCATGATTCCATTATTTTTTTCTGCTGAATAGTACTCCATTGTGTAGATGTACCACATTTTCTCTATCCACTCTTCAGGTGAGGGACATCTAGGTTGCTTCCACGTTCTGGCAATTACAAATAAAGCTGCTATGAACATAGTGGAACAGACATCTTTGTTGTATGAATGGGCACTGTTTTTAGA